GCACTTTTGCAGAAGTGAGTATTATCTAGAGGAAGAGTAGTTTTTGAACTATATGAATTGGGGGTTTTGGTACTAGCTCTATTATGCATTAGCTGTGTGATTTTTACCCATCTTTTGTTCCCTATGTCACATCTGTGAAATGATAGTAATAATAATAATAATAATACCTTTCACTTCCCAGAATTTTTACAAAGATAATATTAGGTAACAGAATAAAACCTTTGAATTCCTGCCTTGATGTTATCAATGATTATCTAAATTTAAATTATATAAATTGCTACAGGATGCTAGGAATGAACTAGTAAATCATTGGACTAAAAATGTTATATCTTTATCTGCATCTCTCTATCTCTCCTTATAGAAAAGAAATAAAGAAGTTAAAACTGAGAAAATTCTATAATTGAGGAAGCATGACAGCAAGTTCTTCTAGTTTCCTATGTTCCTGAAATATACAAACACTTCTCTGCCCCATGGCTAATTTTTCATTGAGTGAAAGAAGTTGATAGTGAAATAAATGACTTAAAGAGGTAGCTAAAGAAATATTGATAAAAGCTATAGTTTACTGGTTCAAAAGTACTTCCTTCCTCCTTTCTTACAAAAATTAAGTGAGATAAATTTCTTTAGCAAAATTAAGAGTTGGATAAAACTAAAAACTTTTTTTCCCAACACTTTTTGAGCACTTACTGTGTTCTAAGCACTATGCTCTATAAGAGTCAGTGGTTTAGAAAACAAAAGCTCTGCCACCTGCCTCTTATAGTTTAGTGAGAGGCACAGGTAAGTGACCCAGCAGTTATAATTCAGTGCTGTGACGGTGAAATACAAGTGCACGAGGCGAGAACACAGCAGGAGCTTCACCCAGTGCAATGTCAGGAGTAGGGTGGGAGTTGGGTGGACAATGACAGGAAAGTCTTCCTGCAAACAGTAAGAAGGCAAACTGACAAGCTGCAATCTGAACAGGGAGAGGAGCTAACCGCAGGAAGAGTTGAAAGAAGAATATTTCATGTAGAAAAAATGAAATGTCAAATGTGGGAATAGAAGTGAGGAGACCATATTCCAGAAACCAAAAGTTGTTTGATCCAAAGGATGATGCAATATGAGCAGCATAAGGAAATGAGGCTGGAGAGATAAGCAGGAGCTAATCATGAATGACCTATTAAGCCACATTAAAAAGTGTGGATTTTATCTTGGAGGGCAGTGAGATTAATCAAGAGATATTATATTCACATTTACAGTCTAGTGGAAAAAAAACTGAATGTAATGTGAATGTGTGGCGGTGAGCATGAGGAGAGGAAGGTTAGAGACAAAGAAACCAGTTTTAATGCTTTTGCAGTAATTCACACCACGAAAAAGAAATGTTGATGTCTGAAACAAGGCTAATGGGAGTAGGGGCTGAGAGTAATGAACGAACCTGAGAGATATATAAGGTATAAGTCACAGAACTTGGGGATCAATTTCATATGAGGGTAGTGAAGGAAAGAAAGCTGTTAAGTGAGATGCCTTGGGTTTTTTTTTTTTTTTGGTTTGTTTGGTTTTTTGGCTTGGGCAACTGTGCACAATGACAACGTTAACTAAGACAGTAAAACAGAAGTGTTTTGTGAGAAAGAAGATGATGACTTCAGTCCTGAGTATGTGGAATCTTGGGTATGTGGAATCTTGTGGAATCTTGAGGCATGTGATAGAGATATAGAATAGTCCATTGGAAACATGGGTATAACTATCATGTGAAAAATCTGGGCTGCAAATACTGATTTGGGAGTCCTCAACAGCATTGCTTTAGCTTCTGAAGCTAGAAAGTAGATAAGAATACTCAATGAGTGTATAGATTGAGATGAAGAAAGAAGACGTAATCAAACACTTAAATACAGATAGTTAAGAAAAATGTCAAGATGAGCTCAAAAGTTAAACTGGGAAACTGACCAGAAAGATAATAGGAAAAGAAGTTGAGTTTGATGCCCTAGATACTAAGGAAAAAAAAAAGGACTAGAAGAAAGAGGTTATAATCAAGTCAAATACTTAAGAGAAAAATAGAATGACAAAAATTGTCCATAGACCTAGAAACAATACAGTCATTGGGGAGCTTCCTAAGAATAATTTTATTGAAAGTTAAGGAGAGAATCCAGATTGCACTGAAGATTGAAGTGTGGATGGGAGATGAAGATATAGTGTAGAACAATTTCCTCTAAGAGATTTGCAAAGAGATTGAAAGTTAATAAAAAGATAACATGAGGATTGAGAGAGTGTTTTTTTTCTTTTTGAGAGCAAAAAAGACTACATTATATGCAAATACCTATGTGAAGAAGCGAGTGCAAAATTACAAAAACAGTAAAAAAATAAATAAGCCAGTGAAATCCATTGGAAGTGATCCAGAAACTAACGGGATATAGTAATAATGCGATGTGGTTACATTTCTAACTGTTCAGCATGCATTCTGTAGCTTCAGTCTCTGAGATCCAGGACCTGATTATGGTGTCCTTAATTAGGAGATGCAGTATGGTTTGGTGTCCAGAGCATAGATCTGCAGTCAGATATTCTGGATTTTATTCCAAATTTTATCAGTTCCTGTCTATGTAACATTGAACACATAGCGTATCTTGCATGATGTATAAACACAAAGTCCTTGGTATATGTTTCTTCTATAAAAAAGAATTCATGTGAGTAAATTTACCATAGGTAATAATTCCCTGGAAATAGTTTTCTTTTTACATTTTAATTTATTTATTATAGAGTTGTGGGGTATAAGTGAGGATTTACTACATAAGTAGGCTTCATACAGGTGAAGTTTGAGCTTTTAGCTGACCCTCACTCTCTCTGGTTGTGGACCCGTGTGCTCTCCATCCTCCTTCCTCCTTCCCTCCCCTAGCAAGAATTTTTTTTTTTTTTATGTTTTAAACATTTGCATGGTTTTATATTAGGGATATGGAACCCTTTATTATTTTTGTCAGAACACATCTATATTTCTTCTCCTTATACTATGTCTAGTGTTGCAATTCCAAGATAACCACAACTTGAGTATTGTGGGCTCTTATAATTACTATACAGCTGCCAGTGACAGGTTTTAGATTGTTTAGTATGGCAACTATTATGTCTAAATCTTAATCTTGAACACCATCATTGATTTATGTTTTATCAAAGTTGTTTTAGAGTTGTTCAGAATACTGGTCTAGTCAGCTGGAAATTAAAAAGTGTTAATATGAAAGTGGAACAATTTGACATTGAGAAGCACTGAATTCTAAGCACAGCTGTAGTTCTTGATGAGTTCACTGTTGACAAGTCATTATTTATCTCTGTGCCTCACATTCTTTCCTATTCAGTGCGTATGACTTTTCAGACCTTCATTGTAAAAGTCTAGAACATACTGGCAAGTCTGTGTGTGAATATAAGAAAATGACCCTTAACTCCAATAGCTAAAAGGAGAATTAGAAACTCTATAAATAGTGATTATTTTATATTGGGACTCAAGTACTGTGTACATCTGCCATTGGGTATGGTTTGTAATCACCAGTTCTACCCAGAGTCCTACAAGAGTGGGATGCTAAGGTCAAGAGAGTCCTCATTCTACTTCCTTCTTGTGACACTCTCAACTGGTCAGCTGTCCAAATACCATCGATGTCTCCTAATAAGTATTTGCAGGGATTGCATGACTATCAGGCATTTGCTTCTGCAAGCAGAGAATCTTCCTGTTTCATCTGTCACTACACACAGTCCCTAATGGGCAGGAAGAATGATAAAAGATAAAATTATTTTATTATTGAACTTTTTCATGCTCTTTTGTCTTTTTCTCTCCCCTGGATACATGCTTTCTCGAGGACAGCTTAAGAAACTGAGTAAAAAAAAAAAGAAAATCATAGTCAAACCATAAACCCTGCTATTTGTAATCAGTGCATAGCTTCTGTGATGAAATTTGTGAGTAATTCACTTCCCACTTGAGCTTACCAATGTGGGATCTAATGTTGCCACCCTGAACACTAATGAAGGAAGTCAGACGGCAGTGCAGCTTGCCCTTGGGGACTCATTTCTCACATCACCAAGAAGTAATTTCTGTCGTTTGCAGCCATCTGGTAGCCTGGATTGTGAAGATGAAGTTTCATTCAAGTAGTGCTTAAGAGCAAAGGCCTGAAGTCTGCCTGGATTCAAACTCATTTTCTGCCCCTCACCTCACCCCCCTCTATACCTCAGTTTTCCACCCATAAATAAGATTGTCATATGATAGCATTTATTTCTTATAAGAGTTTATTAAATGATACCCGTTAAATACCCTACATGGGGCCTGATGTATAATAAATGTTTAATTAAAGTTAGATATTATTAAATTATTAATAGTAGTGGTGGTGGTCGTATTGGAAGTAATAGTAGTGCTTTGGTAATGTCTGCCTGTCAGTGATATAGGCCTTATTAATTTTGTTTTTAAGTTCTAAGGTATGTCATTCAGCCTGTCACAAACCAAGATGAGAGGCTTTCTATTGTAGTGATTAACCCATGGTTTCCTTAGGTGGCTGGATTACAAGTCACCAGGTATAACCACATCTTAATAATGAAACTGTGAAATCTCACACTAAATAGCATTGTTTTTGTTTTCCTGGTATTTGGAGGAGAGATTGGATTGTATTTATTTTACATATATAAGAACATAAACAAGTAACAGTGATAAAAAATGTATTATTAATTTGTTTAAATTTGCTTGCTTTCTAATATTGAAATAAAGTCTATTCCAACCAGAAAAAAAGCTATGACATTTGCATTATACTACTCTGTGCACTTCCTACAGCACTCAGACTGCCATAGTGGGATGTTATCTTACCTTGTAGACGCTCTTTAGAATCTTCTTACACATTTGGTAAGCCGATGACAAACATGGGACTTAAAAGCATTCTGGCTTCTTAACACAAAATTCAAATTAAGTCATAAAAGCTTAAGTTTGCCATTTCCAGTTGCATGGGCCAGTGCTACAGACCTGATCCTGCTGGCATGATTACATATTCCATTTGCTTTTGTCTTTACAGTCCCACCAAAGATCTCCAACATCTCCTCAGATGTCACTGTGAATGAGGGCAGTAATGTGACCCTGGTCTGCATGGCCAATGGCCGTCCTGAACCTGTTATCACTTGGAGACACCTCACACCAACTGGTAAGCAAACCTTTTGTTTCCATTGTGCCACATATAGATTAAGATATCTTCATATTCCTGAGATCCCATGGATTGGAAAGGCAAGCATGGATCTTGTTATTAAATTTCTGAAAGAATTTCAGCATAGGTCTCTTTAGGGTCCTCGTGGTCTTGGCTGATTTGTTCATCTCTACAAAGTTTACAGCCATAATATTGAATATATATTGAATCCATAGTATTGAATATACATATAATTTCACTTTCAGTAGGACAGCTCCTCAAGGCAACAAATATAGAAGCATTAAATGACTTGATATTATATGTAAAACGTATACCAGTTGGGTGCCTGAGTAACTTGGGGCAAAGTTTTGTATGAATTAAATTTGCATAGTTGTTTGTATGTTTGTTTATTTTGCTTTACTTTTAACTATAGTGTCCTAATATGTAGCACCTTGTGAAGAACACTGTTAGGAATAATACAAAATTGTTCCTGACTTCTAACATCCTGCCCTTGGCATCTGGCTCTGTGATGGTCATCAGACATGGACTAAGCTGCAGAGCTCATTAAGGAACCCAGCGATTGATACTAATTCAGGGAAAATTAGAAAATAATTTTCCAGGAATGTCTTCAGTGTTCTTTCCGCTCCCATCTCACCACCAATACCATAACTAGGTTCTGGGCTTTCTTGCTTTTTGAACTTTATTTAAATGTTTGACAAAGTTATTTAAGATTAGCTGAATATATATTCCCCTACTCTATCAGTTACATTTTTTAGATGCAAAACCATGCCTTGCAAATAGCACAGTCTTTATAGAATGAAGCCTGCTATTTAATTGTTCCAGAAAGAGGAGTTATGGATCAATTATTCATAGAAAATATTTATTTTCATAGAGTACCCCTAACTAACTGATTTATATATGATAGTCTCTTAAATTTTTCTCATATAAATACCTAGATATTTAAGTTATTCATATTCATTTAAATTACTCATATTCACAGCATATTCATTTTGGAATAAATACCATAAAAATATTGTGCAAAGCTAGACATATAATGGGAGTTATCCTGAAATAGTTCTAAAAGATCAGGATAGTGTTTGCTCATAGAGTATTTAAAATTTCCGTATTTTGTGGTGTAAGTATATGGGGCCTTTATTTGACATTAGGCCCTAAATTAATTTCTCAGGTAGCGTTTGGACCAATCTATAGAATAGTTTTATATGTAGGCAGGGACTCTTATTAGAAGCTTCCATTTTCTTAAGAAAATGTCACCAAAAACTCAATCTTATTTGGATATTCAGCTCATCATTTATTGGTAATACCTATGCTTATTTAAGAGATCAGTATCAAAGTCATTGCCTCACAGACTCACGTTAGACCTCACATGGAAAAGATATATATCGGGGATTTTCTGAAGTATGAACTTGCAGATATCATATACCTTTCTTCTGAAATAAATTAAGCCTTCAGAGCACAATCTATTTGAATGGTTTTATATTAGCTCCACTCCCACACCACCTACTCTCGTGTCCCAAGTAGCATTTATTTTACTGAATGGTAATTTGGTATGGCAGCTATTTGCTCATATTTAAGGTTGTTATAAAAGATACATTCTAAAATCTTTGTGTTTACTGTAATGTTGTCATTGAGAGACTATTAATTTTTTTTACATAGTTTTCCTTTGAAAGGACCCTTTGAGGAAATTTATTTTTGTTTTCAATATCTCTACTGTCTTTTTCCTAAGCAATGGTTTGTTTTTTTAAGAATGGGCCCAGTCAGTTTGTGTACCTGGTTTTGTTTCTTTATTGTACTGACTGTTAGCAAACTTAGAACCATATTTATGGACCGTGTATAAAAATATATAAATTATTATACTTAGATTATACATAATTAAGATTGATTTCAAATAAACCACATAGGAGTTTATGGCATCAAGTTCACATTCAGGCCACACTTCTGCTATTATCCTGCTTTCTTACCATTATTTTTTTTGTCTTGTCTTTTTAAATTAATTTAAGTATATATATAAAGATATGATTTATAATCTCAATCTCTTTTGCTGAACAAGGTGGTAGATTCAAAAAATCAAAAATGGGAGAGACAAAGGAAAATAGATTATATTCAAGTTATAATCAAGTAATAAACTGCATTAGTAGAAAGACATTATTCCTCCTTTAGTACAATACTAACTAGAAAATAATCTTTTCAGGAAAAAAATGCTATTGCAGACCTGAACTCAAAGATCGATTCATTTTTATCCATGAGTCTAAAACAATTCTAAGATAGAACCAGAATTTCAGCACCTTTCCCAGGGGTTTAGGTCTTCACGGCTAACATTTTTGTTTAATTATTTATTTATTTTAAAGATGTGGAGTACAACTGAATGTTTGATTTGAACCCTGAATAACCTGGTTTCCTATGATGTTTCAAGTCAACAAAAAACCAGAGGACCAGCCATGTCTTTCAGAGTAAAGGCTGTATTAACATACACTTGGAGAACCTTGGAGAACTCAAAATCAACTAGGAATGTAGGTTTACTCACAGGGATCCCCAACAGTCAACCCAGAGATCAACAAACTACTGCCTGTGGGCCAAGCCCACTCTGCCCCATTTATATACTGCCTGCAAGCTAAGAATCATTTTTAAATTGTTGAATGGTTGGGAAAAACAAAAATAAAATAAGTATTCTATTTCTTTGAAATGCAAAAAGTATATAAAATTCAATTGTCAGCATATATACATAAAGTTTTATTAAAACACAACCATACTCATTCATTTACATATTACCTATGGCTGCTTTTGTTCTAAAGCAGCAGAGCTGAGTAGGTGCAACAAAGCTCACTTGGCCCACAAAGCCTAAAATGTTTTCTATTTGCCCTGAACAGAAAAGTTTAGAGACCCTTGCTCGAGACCATGGCTTGGGATACAGGAAGGGATTTGCTGCATTCTTCTATGACCCTGTAGGGTTTTGGGGATATCCTCTACCAGGCTTCTTCAGACATCGTAAGAAAAAGAGCTTTACTCTTTTATAGTCTTCTATGTAGGCCCACTCTACAGGTCAATTTCTATTCTGGCACATGCAAAACTAGATGCATTTGCAGATTCAAGGGCAAACTATTCTCCCTTATATTTCCAACACTTCTGTTTTATCTCTTTCACATCTGACCTAAGTAGCCACATGATCATAATCATATTCCTGGTGACAGGAAAGAGAACTCACCTTTACTATTTTATAAAGGAAACTAGGATTTTTGTTTGTTTTCATGGATTATTTCTTCTATTTTTTTCAAAATTTGGAAATAGTAGGTGATTCTTTTCAGTGAAGCCTTTCTTGGAGACACCCAAAGAAGAGACTGTTCCCTGTGTGACAGAAAAGCTGCCTGCAAACCGTGGCCATGTGAAAAAAAAAATCCAGCTAGCTTTGTTCAATTATTAATTGTGCCTTCAACTGTACAGAGTGTGACTGACTTGCAGAGGAAATGTACCTGTAATTAGCTCGACCCCACAGGGACATTGAGCCCTGAAAGGAGGAAGATTCTATACAGGGTTCACAAATACCTGATTACCTGTCATTTGAAGACATGAGAGGGAGAAAAAAAAGAAATGTGCATGGTGTATTTTTTCAGGGAGAATATTTATTACCTCTTAATTTCATCTTTTTAAAATTGATAAGGCCATTTCCTTCTTTTTATTTTTGCATTTGAAGTTTCATTTTCAAGTATACTACAAGTGTTTTTAAAGAGGCAAGTTAAAAGAATGGTTAATTTTTCATACATACAAAATCAAAACACTTACGTGACTTAGATGAAGCTGAGGACATTTATGCATTCCGTGGGTGCCTTTCTTATATTTCTGATTTCTTAATTTTCCTCTCCTCTTTAGTTATTTTATATAGTCAGAATGATGTGTCACATATGTGGTTATTAAATGTGACCTATTTTCTCCCTTAATTAAGTTAGACTTTCATAATCCTGTGACTCCCAGAGGGCAATTGCACCGTAACATGTATTTTCTATGGAGTGTTTGATCTTCCTTCTGTGAGCAATGCTGCTCCTATCTTCATTTAACTTTGTTTCTAAATTTTTCTTCTCGCATTCATGAGGAAGTCCTTTTCTCAAATGTGCATCATGTGGTGTCAGGATTGCTCAGGGTCCCCAAAAGAGTTTCTGTGCATTTCATTCCTATAACGGTTTTCACAACCTTAGTAGCTTTCTATCTGAAAAACTCAATAGGCACACTGAGGACTTAGCCCCTTAGACTGAGAACAACTCAAGAGCTACTGTGTAATTTTCTTATCCAGCCAGAAGCCAGATTTGACATCAACACGGAGTATAGAAATATTACTTTTAAAATACTTTCTATTTTGACATGGTAAGCGGAAAAATATGCTGGGAAAAGCTAAATGACTCCAGAGAGTCTGAAATTCCATTTTCTAATTGGATATTGGATTTTAATCACTTGATAGGAGATTCTTCTTTCAATTCATTTCCAGCTGATAGTACTCTTGATTGATGGTATCCTTGAATTCTATTAATGCTATCCCTTACTATTATTATTATTATTTTAGAATAAGGTATCACTTTGTCACACAGGCTGGAATAAAGTGGTATGATCATAGCTCACTGCAACCTTGAACTCCTGGGCTCAAGAGATCTTCCCACCAAGTAGCTGAGACAACAAATGCATACCATCAAGCCTGGCTAATTTTTTTGTTTTTTGTAGAGACAGAGTCTTGCTCTGTTGCCCAGGAGGTCTCAAGTAATCCTCTCAAAGTTATGCCATTACAAGCATAAGCCACTGTCTTGCTTCTAATCATATAACTTACTCAATATGACTAGCATAGACTCTGACCTCATGAGTTTGGGAGAAATATATAATGTAAAGCTAATCTCTTTTCCAAGCTGCATTCCAGAAGTACGTATTGCAAATAATTATCTTCTGGTCCTTTGAGTTAGCATGTTAGAAGTAGTATGAGCTTATATTTAACACAAAGAATATATCATCTACAATTTAAGTTTCAGGAAATTATTTCTCTGGGGTTTTCTTGTATGGACCTTCCAGAAGATTCTGTAAGTCAAACTTGATAGCATATAGATATGGAAGAATCAAACCTGTGCACTTTACAAGTAAAGGCCATTGACCATACAGTAACAATTCA